TTGGTGGGGGTTGGATGACATGTATAGTTGCTAGGCTTGCGGTTACACAACTGCTCGGGGTTCGGTTACACAACTGCTCGGGGTTCGGTTACACAACTGCTCGGGGTTCGGTTACACAACTGCTCGGGGTTCGGTTACACAAGTGCTCGGGGTTCGGTTACACAACTGCTCGGGGTCTGGTTACACAACTGGTCGGGCTCCGGTTACACAACTGGTCGGGCTCCGGTTACACAACTGGTCGGGCTCCGGTTAAATAACTGGTCGGGCTCCGGTTACACAACTGGTCGGGCTCCGGTTAAATAACTGGTCGGGCTCCGGGGGTGTCACTTGGGCTGCGGGTTGTGCATGGTCGGGCTTCGGTTCGTGCATGGTTGTGCTTCGGAGGTTTGTTTGGTTCGTGCTTGCTAGGCTTGCGGTTACACAACTGGTGGGGCTTATGTTACACAACTGGTCAGGCTTCGGTTGCACATCTGGTCAGGCTCCGGTTACACATCTGATGGGATTTCGGTTACACAACTGTTGGGGTTTCGGTTACACAACTCTCAGGGTCTGGTTACACAACTGGTCGGGGTTTGGTTACACAACTGGTCGGGCTCCGGTTACACAACTGGTCGGGCTCCGGTTAAATAACTGGTCGGGCTCCGGTTACAGAACTGGTCGGGCTCCGGTTAAATAACTGGTCGGGCTCCGGGGGTGTCACTTGGGCTGCGGGTTGTGCATGGTCGGGCTTCGGTTCGTGCATGTTGTGCTTCAGAGGTTGTTTGTTTGGTTCGTGCTTGGTAGGCTTCCGGTTACACAACTGGTCGGGCTTCGGTTCCTGCATGGTTGTGCTTCAGATGTTGTTTACTTAATGATTGTTTTGAATTGTTTGTTTGCTTCGTTCATGCTAGGCTTGCGGTTACACAATTGGTCAGGGTCTGGTTACAGAACAGGTTCGGGCTCTGGTTACATAACTCCGGGGTTGTAACTTGTTGGGCTTTGGTTTGTGCATGGTCTGGCTCCGGTTCATGCATGGTTGTGTTCCAAGGATTGTTTGTGTACTAGTGCTCCAGGTTTGTTTGCTAGGGATCTATGGTTATATGTTTGCTAGAAATCTGGGTTACTTTTTTCGTATATAGCTCACTTTTTTGTTTGCTTTGGCTCCATAGATGGTTTCTAGGGCAAGTGGAGGGTTTTAGGTAGGGCTAAGGAAATTTTTGTTTGGTCGAACTAGGAATGGAGTTTGGTTGGTCTTTGGGGCTGTTTAGCTTGGTGGGGGTTGGATGACATGTATAGTTGCTAGGCTTGCGGTTACACAACTGCTCGGGGTTCGGTTACACAACTGGTGGGGTTTCGGTTACACAACTGGTCGGGGTCTGGTTACACAACTGGTCGGGCTCCGGTTACACAACTGGTCGGGCTCCGGTTAAATAACTGGTCGGGCTCCGGTTACACAACTGGTCGGGCTCCGGTTAAATAACTGGTCGAGCTCCGGGGGTGTCACTTGGGCTGCGGGTTGTGCATGGTCGGGCTTCGGTTCGTGCATGGTTGTGCTTCAGATGATGTTTGTTTGGTTCATGCATGCTAGACTTGCGGTTACACAACTGGTCGGGCTCCGGTTAAATAACTGGTCGAGCTCCGGGGGTGTCACTTGGGCTTCAGGTTGTGCATGGTCGGGCTTCGGTTCCTGCATGGTTGTGCTTCAGATGATGTTTATTTAATGTTTAATATTTAATGCATTGGCAGATGGCAGTTGGTTGACATTGTATTGTATTGTATTGACATGTAACAGCAAGCTAGGCTTGCGGTTACACAACTGCTCGGGGTTCGGTTACACAACTGTTGGGGTTTCGGTTACACAACTGGTCGGGGTTTCGGTTACACAACTGGTCGGGGTTTCGGTTACACAACTGGTCGGGGTTTCGGTTACACAACTGGTCGGGGTCTGGTTACACAACTGGTCGGGGTCTGGTTACACAACTGGTCGGGGTCCGGTTACACAACTGGTCGGGCTCCGGTTAAATAACTGGTCGGGCTCCGGTTAAATAACTGGTCGGGCTCCGGTTACACAACTGGTCGGGCTCCGGTTAAATAACTGGTCGGGATCCGGGGGTGTCACTTGGGCTGCGGGTTGTGCATGGTCGGGCTTCGGTTCCTGCATGGTTGTGCTTCAGAGGTTGTTTGTTTGCTTCGTGCATGCTAGACTTGCGGTTACACAACTGGTCGGGCTTCAGGTTGTGCATGGTCGGGCTTCGGTTCCTGCATGGTTGTGCTTCAGATGATGTTTATTTAATGTTTGTTTTGAATTGTTTGTTTGCTTCGTTCATGCTAGGCTTGCAGTTACACAATTGGTCAGGGTTTGGTTACACAACAGGTTCGGGCTCTGGTTATATAACTCCGGGGTTGTAACTTGTTGGGCTTTGGTTTGTGCATGGTCTGGCTCCGGTTTGTGCATGGTTGTGTTCCAAGGATTGTTTGTGTACTAGCGCTCCAGGTTTGTTTGCTAGGGATCTATGGTTATATGTTTGCTAGAAATCTGGGTTACTTTTTTCGTATATAGCTCACTTTTTTGTTTGCTTTGACTCCATAGTTGGTTTCTGGGCAAGTGGGGGGTTTTAGGTAGGGCTAAGAAAATTTTTGTTTGGTCGAGCTAGGAATGGAGTTTGGTTGGGCTCTGGGGCTGTTTAGCTTGGTGGGGGTTGGATGACAGGTATACTTGCTTGGGTTGCGGTTACACAACTGCTCGGGGTTCAGTTACACAACTGGTGGGGTTTCGGTTACACAACTGGTCGGGTTCCGGTTACGCAACTGGTCGGGCTCCGGTTAAATAACTGGTCGGGCTCCGGTTACACAACTGGTCGGGCTCCGGTTAAATAACTGGTCGGGCTCCGTGGGTGTCACTTGGGCTGCGGGTTGTGCATGGTCGGGCTTCGGTTCGTGCATGTTGTGCTTCGGAGGTTTTGTTCGGTTCGTTCATGCTAGGCTTGCAGTTACACAACTGGTCGGGCTTTTGCGGTGCACAATAAACTACCACTCAATTTCTTTATTATGCACCCCATACCCATCCCGTGGGCGGTGGTGTAAAGGATTACAGAGGCCCATAATCAGTTCAGGAACCGAACCCTCTAGTTCGTTATCTAAGCAAATAACAATTTTTGATGCTAGTTACAAAATTATTAATGTTATATATACATGTACACATTCTCATGCATACATGTACATATATATATACACATACACACATATTTAATCACCCACACAAGTACACACATCAATAATCTTTTGAACCACTCACTGGTTGAATAGGGGATGCTTAATGAACTATCCACCTCTGGCGGCAAAAAATAAATGAAGTGTGCAAATACGGTCTAGTTGCAAACATTGCAAATAATCCAAAGGATTATTGCAGTTGCATTGTTTGCACCATCTTGAGCCTGTTTGTTCTGTAACAAGAGACAAAGCCTTCGCTGATAGATAATAGTAAGATATACAACATTATATTCAGTGCGCTATAAGCACGTCAGCGCACATATATTATCTATATAATAATAATAATAAAAATAATAATAATAACGTTTATTCAGGTAAAACTAAATACATTCAAAAAGTTACAAGCAGACTGTTGAACTTCTAGATAAAGCTAGTACATACTATGCCTAAAGTCACTAATATGCACAGCGTTTCAGACATCTACCTACAATGATTTTAGTGTAGATATTGTGATATGATTTTGCAGTATGAAAGATGTTAAGACAAACTTTTTTTTTTTTTTTGAGAGAGAGAGAGAGAGATATATATACAAGAGATATATATACAAGAGTTGTTACATTGTTACATTCTTGTACAGTCACTAGTACGCGTAGCGTTTGGGGCAGGTCCCTGGAATACGATCCCCACGAAGAATCGTTGTTACAATTAGGTACCCATTTTACTATTGAGTTAAACAGGCTACAGTTAAGGATTTGCGGCCAGTAAATCCTCCCCGGCCAGGATACAAACCCATGAGAAAGCGCTCGCGGAACGCCAGGCGAGTGTCTTACCACTACACCACGAAGACTGGTTAATTCATTCAATTGTATAAGGATAAATCGCCTCGCATATCTGAAAAATACTTTTGTATTATTTTAATATAATACTCATGTGCCATCTTATTATTCACAATTTTAACTTATTCTCAATTTCTAATGGGCATCTTATTATCTTGGCAGACGAGAACTGAAGCGAACACACGCCAGCGCATATACGTGTTTTATATATATTTTTGATGGAAGAGGATCTTCTTGATACTGTAATCTACAACTGTGAAGAAGACATGGAACGACGCCACACCCATTATACTTCATACAGTAAATATTGGTAACTTATCCTATTATTTTATTATTATTATTATATATATATATATATATATATATATATATATATATATATATATATATATATATATATATATATATATATATATATATATATTCAATTTCTTTCTTTATTATGCACCCCATCCCATGGGCGGTGGTGTAAAGGATTACAGAGGAATATAAGCGGTTCAGCAGGAACTGAACCCTCTAGTTCCTTTGGCTAAGCAAATAAAATTTTTTGACGCTAGTTACAAAATTATTAAATTTATATATATATCATATAAAATGTATGTGCAGAAATAATATTAATAAAACAATTAATATCGTGTAGTGTACTCTATATATCAAAATATATTACTTTGAAACCCGTATCAATAAATTGGGCTACTACTAGCTTAGCTAAATGAATTGTGGGGTTCAGTCCCTGAGCCCATTATGTGCCTCTGTAACCCTTTCCCACTACCGCCCACAAGATGGGTATGGGGTGCATAATAAATGAACTAAACTAAACTAACTCATTACAAATTCGCTAATTTTAGACCATCAGCTCGCTACTTTTAGCAATTTGTATCTGGCAACGCTGCCACAACACGGTGGTCGACTTTGACCGTAGTCACTCCGGGGGTCAGACCAAACCCGTCCCCGCCTTTAACATCATCAACAACAAAAATCTTTCCAGTACGTCTAATTTTGTCGTCACGTAAAGAAATCTAACTTTCACGCGAACTACAAATATCAAATTAAAGGAACGGAATGATTTGGAAGAACACCATCACCTTACGTTCCTCCACCAAGCTACACAAGTATTAATAATAATAATATTTTATTTAGGAAAAGTACATATATAGATGTAAAGTTAAACATTCTGATTTATAGATAGAGCTAGTACATACAATATCTAAAGCCACTACTATGCATAGCGTTTCGGGCAAGGTTAGGTGGAGGAAAAAACACTTAGACTAAAACTTAATAGAAATTGAGCTTGAAGTATAAATTGCGTTGAAAGAAAAAAATAAGATAAAGGGGGGAACATGGTAGAAAATAGCCAATATATAAGTTGGTCAACAAGCAGCATTGTTTAGAAAATAGTAAGATATGGGTTGACATTTAGGGGTAAGGTAGGTTACAGGGAGTTAATTAGGTAGTACTATGTTTTTATCTTAAACTGGTTGGGAGAGGTACAGTCTTTAACATGATTGGGAAAGTCATTCCACATTCTGGGTCCCTTGATTTGTAGAGCATTTCTAGTTTGATTAAGTCATATTCTTGGAATATCAAATAGGTATTTGTTTCTGGTGTGGTGCCCATGGGTTCTGTTACAACCTTCTAAGAAGCTTTTAAGATCAGGATTGACATTATATATAAGTAATGTAAATTATTACAAATAAGTAATCTAATTTAGTATGCCAAAGGAAAGAAGAGGAACAGAATGATTTGGAAGAACACCATCACCTTATGTTCCTGCACCAAGCTATACAAGTAATCTATTTTAGTATGCCAATTACAGTAGTATATACTGTTCACACTTAGTTAAAGTTAAAAGAGGACATTGACAAGCTTCATGGTGGACAAACAAATGGTTGCATGAATTTAATCCCAATAATTGTGAGGTAGTAAAGACGGGAAAATGAGAAAGGAGACCCTGAAATATCCGCACCACAAGTCGAAGACATCTATAGGAATCTGAAAAAAAAAAGTTGTGAAGTGGATATCATTGCAAAGCGAACACAAAATGAACACACAAACTGGCTAACATCGACAGCTTATGGGAAGCGGGCAAACATTAGAACGTCTTGCAGATGACAAGTCACAATAACGTGACTGAAGAAATGTTGGTGTTTCAGTCCATCCTGGACCATTACCAAGTTGATTGTGATAATGGTCCAGGACAGATCGAAACATTGTCGTCTCTGTTGTTTAGTATGTAGTTTGGTCAATATTAGAACATATTTATTTAATTTTTTAAACCTAAATCAGGACGCTAAAGACAATTACACAGCCTTTGTGTAATTGCCTTACCGCACGTACTATACAGTACGTGAGGTACTATATAGTTATATATAACTATACAGTACTATACAACCTTTCCTCACATACTATACAGTAATAGGCAGCACCAGTTTGGCATCTGCATCTTGTAATGCATAAAACCAAAATTAGAAAGGTACAGAGGTTTGCAACAAGATTAGTGCCAGAGCTATGAGGATAGGTGTAAGGCACAAGAAACAGTGGGAATATGATCACAGCATACAAGATACTGATTTGAATATACACGGTGGACAAGGAAACTCTGCCCAGAAACGATGGGCAGAGTTTCTTTCACCCTGATGTTCCTGTTACCTAGCAGTATATAGGTACCTGGGAGTTAGTCAGCTGTCACGGGCTACTTCCTGGGGGTGGAGGCCTGGTCGAGGACTGGGCCGCGAGGACACTAATAAGCCCCGAAATCAACTCAAAATAACCTCAAGAAAATCATGTTCTGATAAAGTGTTTAAAAATATATAATCTATTAAGTTTTGTTGTTCAGTTCAAATTGCTCTACTGAAGAAAGATTATTGTATGCAGAATATTTTATCTTCCATATGCAGGAAATTAATAGTGTAATTTGATTGGAAGTTTAAAATACACTAACAATTTAAATATTATAAAAATTACTTGGCACTGTAAACTAATATATACATCTCTTTGCAGATAAATTGGCATTTAATTATAAAAAATTACATCACTGATGATACTTGATCCCAAATTCACCATTATACGAGACATCATGGGGTCATTTGTGACATTAAATCTGCAGTCTCTTGTAAGCTTGTTGGAAACATGTCACAATTGTTCTACAGGTAAGGCAGTGTGCAGCAGGTTTGGTGTTTATGTGCTTAATTCTGTCATTAGCTGGCCTCACAATCCTCACTTCCGGTTAATATTCTTTTCTTTCTTAGTTGCATTATTATGCCACTACCAGAGACAAATTAATCCACTGCATATTTTTAGGATTTGTAGAGTCATGCAGGTGAAAAAACAAATTCAATAATGGCTTTGTGCAATTCTGTGCCACAGTTTACTGTGCACACTATGCATGCTCTGTCTGCAAGTGGTAATACAAACAGGATTACAGAGTACAAATATTTTATCAAAACCCTATTTGATATATAATCATAACTTTAGATATTACAAAGTATTTGTTACATAGTTTACTATAGCTGAGTAGTTTATTTATGTAAGAGGCAATGATTGGATTTCAGGTATTTATTAATGGCTTTAAATTATATGCAATTTCTCATAGGGTATGTTTGGAAATCTCTAAAAGGGTAAAAATATTTTTAAAATGCAGTGGAATCTCGATTCAATAAACCTCGATTTGGCGAATCTCTGGTTGAAACATACACATTCCATGCCAGATTTGCTCGCCCGATTCAACGAACAAGAGTTCCTTGAAGCCCCCGATGTGTGGATTTGCTTAGGATGTTGGAACCGAGTTCACAGATAGAGGCAACATTACAAGACATAGTTGAGGCCTTGGGAAAGCCACTCGGCATATTAACACCAAATTCCAAAGTTCTTTTTTCATTTCCAGTTTTAAAGGTTTTTGTTCAATAAAATATGGACCCTTTTCCTCTGAAAATGAGATTTTGAGGCTGGGGCATGGGAAGTACAGGTATGCTAGATGTAGTTAGATCTCTTTACAGACAGGTTCTCTTGGTTGTTGCCCTTCATATGACAGGTTGAAATTAAAATTTATCATGGTGACATCAGCCCCTAGTGTGTGGGAAGTATTAGGTTTGAATGGTAATACTTGCAGTATGGCTCCAATCATGGTTTTTAATGATTTTTGTACATGAACTCAACATTATGAAAAATAGTTGGAGCCTAGGGTATTGGAGCCTTTTGAGGATATTTAAAGCTAAATTCTAGGGTTTCTCATTTTTAGTTGGCAAGGGTTTTTGTTCACTGAGGTATGGCCCTGCTACCTTTTGAGTATGAGTTTTGAGACTGGGGACATGAGAAATAAGCAATTGTGTATTATGGTATTGGTTGAAATGAAAATTTTACATAGTGAAATTAGCACATAAGACATGGGAACTGCATCTGGAAGGCATCTCTAGTTGCAACAAATCCCTCACTGCAACGAATTGGTGTTGGTCCCAGTTAGTCAAGTCGAGGTTGTACTGTATAAGATATAATATTCCAGCATATTATTTACACACTTCATATTTCATGTGATTGAGATATCAATACAAATTAAACTGACAAAGATACGTGTACCTTAGACTTAAGGTACAAGTTATATTTTTATAAATACTGTATAAGAAAATTATCTTTTTTTCTAATAAAAGTTAAAAAAATTCTTTTACAAATTAGAAGTAGTGTACATCAAGTACAGTATCCTTTCTTGTTAACAAAATTGTAGCCACATAAATTTTTTAACATGTTCTTGGAACTTGTATGTAAATGAATCAACAATGGTTTGAATTTAATTCCTTTGTCAAGGATTTGTATGTTCAGTATGTGACTTCAGGTACAAGTTTGTTACATTCAGATTTTAGTGTGTTTAGCACAAGCCATAACATTCAAGTGATATTATGAGGATAAAGAGTTGGTAATAACTAATGTCTTCAGTTGTATATTCAGTTGTATGAGTTTGAGTGATGATGCAAAGCAAAAGATTAGTTTGTAAGGTGGGAAGTCCAGTTGTTGAGAGTAGTATTACTAGCATTCTTCTAGCTTATGCCTTTTCCTTCATATTGTATATTAGACAGCCAAACCACAAATCTGAAAATACAAGCATTTATTACATTTTGGTCTAATTTAGACCATTATTAGGTTGATATGATAATGATACAGGATGGACTGAAATGTCATAAATTCTTTTCTTCTCAGATTTGTGGGTTAGATGTCTAATTTTGAGCCACATTATTGTGACTTATCGTCTGCTTACTGTATATTAGTTTCACATCTTACATGCCTAATAAAAATACAGGTACACATCATAAAACATAAGAGTAAATTGACCAAACCACACACTAGAAAGTGAAGGGACGATGACATTTTGACTTGAGAATGGTCCAGGACGGACTGAAATGTCGTCATCCCTTCACTTTCTAGTGTGTGGTTTGGTCAACATATTTCATCCACGTTATTGTGACTCCTTGTCTGCATAAGAATAAAGGTAACTGCAGAAGGCCTATTGGCCCATATGAGGCAGGTCTTATGCACCCAATCCCACCCATATACATGTCCAATCCATGCTTGAAATAATCAGGGGACCCCCACCTCCACCATGTTACGGAACCAGTATTTTTCCAGATCTTTTCTAAATCTAAACTTATCCAATTTATACACATTGTTTCTTGTTCTGTTCTATATTGATACTTTTAATACTCTATTAATATCCCCTTTGTCCATTCATCCACTTGTACACCTCTGTCACATTACCCTTAACTCTTTGCCTTTCCAGCAAATGTAATTTAAGCTTTGTCAATCTTTCTTCATATGACAGGTTTCTAATTTATGGGATTAACTTTGTCTTCCTACGCTGGACGCATTCAAGTAAATTAATATCCATTCTATAGTACGGGGACCAAAATTGAACTGCATAATCTAAATGGGGCCTAACCAGAGCAAAATATAGCTGAAGAACAACACCAGGTGTCTTATTAGTAATGCTTCGATTAATAAACCCCAGTGTCCTATTTGCCTTATTACGAACATTTATGCATTGAATTTTTGGTTTTAAATTCTAGCTATTCATAACTCCCAGATCCCTTTTGCAGTCCGACTTCGCAAGCTCAACACCATCTAGCTTGTATCTTGTAACTATATCATTACCTAGCCTCAAAACTTTACATTTGTCAGCATTAAACTGCATCTGCCAGTCTTTTGACCATTCAAAACCCTATTTAGATCGTCTTGAAGTGATAGTCGTCTTCTGTGTTTATTTCCCTCCCGATTTTCGTATCAGCAAATATGCAAATATTGCTACTCATACCTGAATCTAAATCATTTATATATATTATGAATAACTGAGGTCCCAGGACAGAACCTTGAGGCACTCCACTTACAACATTTTTCCACTCTGACTTAACCCCATTTATACAAACTCTGTTTTCTTTGGTATAGCCATGTCCTAATTCAACTTAATATAGTACCTTCAATACCATGAGCCTCTAACTTTTTAATCAGTCTTTCATGTGGCACTGTGTCAAATGCTTTGCTAAAGTCAAGGTACACAACATCACAAACCTTTCCACTATCAACTGCCTCAACTATGCAGGAATAAAATGATAGCAAATTTGTTAAATATGAATGGCCATTTGTAAAATCATGTTGTGAATCTTTTATTAATCTATGTTTTTCAAGATGAAGACGAATGATATTTGCAATTATCGATTCGAGTAACTTTCCCACAATAGACGTTAAGCCAATTGGCCAATAGTTTGACGCAAGTGATCTATTTCCTTTCTTGAAAATTGAAACCACATTAGCAACCTTACACGACTGGCTCTCTGCCTGACTAATGATTTATTAAATATGGTAGACAATGGCTCACAAAACTCCTCTTTTTACTCCTTAAGCACCATGGCAAACACTTCATCTGGCCCTGAGGATTTGTTTGGCTTCAGTTTTACTATTTGTTTAATAACATCCTCCCTGGTAACTGCTAAACTAGTCAACCTATCTTCCCCACTCACATAGACTTGTTCGGCTGAAGGCATACTGTTAAGTTCCTCTTTAGTAAATACAGAGATAAAATATTTATTAAAAATAATACTCATCTCTTCGTCATTATCAGTTATCTGACCTGTCTCAGTTTTTAATGGACCTATACTTTCCCTAATCTTTGTTTGATATAACTGAAAAAAAACTTTAGGATTTGTCTTTGCTTGCCCTGTTATGCGAACTTCATAGTTTCTTTATGCCCTCCTTATCTCTTTTTTTAATATTTCTAACCAGTTGGATGAATTCTTGTTCTTAACCGACTTCCCCATTCTTAATCCTTTTGTTCCAAGCTCTCTTTCTACCTATAAGGTTCATCAGATCCTAAGTTATCCATTTCAGGTCATTATTATTAGATCTCTTCAATTTGTATGGTATACTACGTTCCTGTGCTTTGCTTAGAATATTTTTAAATGGGTTATATTTTGAATCCACATCGAAATCCCATTTTACATCACCCGTCGCTGGGTTCACATCTTGCTCAAGACCGGCCCACCTCTCATGCCCAAGACTTTCCAATCTATTTCACCCAAAAAAATTCTTAGGTTATTAAAATCAGCTTTTTTGAAAATCTGGCACTCTAACAGAATTTTCCCCTTCAAATCTATTCCATTCTATACCAAATCTGTTATCCTTGTGATCACTGTTCCCTAACTAACTCCCTATTTCAATATCATTAATTTGTGTTTCCCTGTTAGTTAACATTAAATCTAAAATATTATTTTCCCATGTTGGTTCCTTAACGTGTTGTGTAAGAAAGCAATCGTCAATTATTTCTAGAAAATCTTGTTCATTGTTCCCTGTTCTGTTAAACCAGTTTATTCCACTAAACTTAGTCACCCATGACACAAATACTGTTGGAACTAGATGCTCTAAATATTTCATCCCATAGATGCTTTGCTTCCATTCTGTCTTAAGTTTGGTGGCCTGCATATAACTCCTAATATAAGATTTTTTGCTTTTTCGTTTATTTCTAGCCACATACTTTCTGTGTATAGCTTAATTTTGATTCCCTCTTTGAGACTACATTTAAAATTTTCCCTAACATATATGGCTACTCCCGCCTCCTCGTCTAATATATCTATCTGTGTGGAATAGTTTAAATCCATTTATTTGATATTCGGCTAATAGTTCTCTATTTCTACATTCATCCATGTTTCAGTAAGTGCAATAATATCTTTTTCTGTGCAGACAAGCATTTAAATTGTTTATTTTGTTTCCTAGACTCCTACTGTTTGTGTAATATACCCTAAGTGTATTGTTATTTTGAGGCCCTTCTCTTTCTCTGTTCATTTTTCCAATTTGTTTTCCCCACAAACACACACATACTTTTATTACCTCCCCTCTCCATATCAATTCCCGTACCACTATCTACTAAGTTTAAACCCAAACCAACCCCATCAACCTCAGGTTCTAATGAGTTGGCAACAGCAACAACCCCAGCCCTGGATAAATGCACCCCATCCCGAGCATACATGTCATTTCATCCATAGAAGTGTTCCCAGCTATCAATGAAGGATATTGCGTTTGATTTGCAATACCAGTATATTTGTCAAGTTGGCAATTGATACCAAAAGCCCTCAACAACCATTCATTTCCAACTCCCATTCTTGGTAGAATGCCACATATGATCGGGATTCCTCCCTTACTCCTAAATAATTCTATGACTGTCTTAAACCTCTGTAACAGTGCCTCACTCCTAACTCGTCAAACTTCATTTCCACCTGCACTGATAAATAATGGGTTTGTTCCCATTTCCTGCCATAATATCATTCATGTTAACAATGTCACCAATCCCTCTTCCCAGATAGCAAACCCTTAACCTGTTCCCCCTATCTGTCACAAAGTTCTATCCAAATACCTCACCTGAGAATAAAAAATGCAAACCAAAATTCGCTTAGGTACTTCCTTTATTTTCTGAGCACTTTGAGGGACCTGTGCTTCGTTGCTTTCCCTTTCGATTGAACTGCAGGCTCCCCATAGCACTCGTCCTCCAACACGGCAAATGAGTTAGAAGTCCTTAGGATATCTGTAGGCGGCTTTGTCAAAGTCGTCTTATTCTTAGTTAAGACCCCTGTCCTTTACAACTTTTCAAGACGAGGTCTTTTTAATTCTGGTCTCCTCCTTTGTTTCTCCTCGAAGTTGTTTCAGCTGTCATACCTCCTGCTGGGACTCCAACTGTCCTCAGAGCTCCAACTAGATTCATCAGTTCCTTCACTATACCTTCCATTATTACTATGATAATATTACTACAATCTGAGCTCCAGCTAACACACCCTCTCACTGTGACTGCACCTGAATCTATCAACTGTCATAAATTTTGTTTGGTACTTTCAGGTAATGCAGCTCAAGTAATCACTGGTGATACATTGTCAGTGAGACTGGGAAGTGAAGTGGGGCGACCATTTACTTTCTTATGCTGTGGAACAATTATCAGTTCAGGAGGTGCTATATTCTGGCATTCTGAAGAAATAACACCTGATGCCATTACTAGCAGTAATGAAGTTATTCAGCAGCCATTAAAAGTAATGGATGGTAATACAGAAGAGAAAAGAGGTGTGGAGGAATTTGAGGATCTTATCATTAAATGTGAAGATGACAGTGGAAAAAAATTTGAAAGTGAAGAAATTAATCTTCATAACATTTTGGTAGAAGAAGATCCTCTTTTAGTGGATGATTTAGCGATAGAGAAAACAAACGTGGACGAATGCTGCACATCAGAAAATAATGAAAAAATAATAGTTGTAAGCCCAGAGAACACAATAGCAAGGACAAATTTAGTAGGAATACTGACTCATCAAGATTCTTTAGGTTCTCTTGAATGTCCTTGTGAAAGTAAAGCTACTGGGCTCACAAAGAGAACAAAGTATCCAGAAGTTTTTACCTGTGAATATTGTGGAAAAGTTTTCACGGGAAAAGAAAGAGCTTACCAATTCTATTATCATAGAAACCGTGAACACACACATGAGATGGTCTACAGGTGTGATATTTGCTCGAAGGAATTTTGGGGAGATAGGGAACTCCTGTCACATATGAGTGGGCATAGGGATCAGGGTCACATTTGCCATATTTGTGGACAAAAATTTAATGCCAAGAAAAATTTAAAAACTCACCTCTTGACACACTTGTCCATACGTGAATATATTTGTCGTTACTGCGATAAATCTTTTAGAAGAAAGGACCATCTTACAGTTCACGAGAGAATTCACACAGGGGTAAGGCCATATCAGTGCAAGTGGTGTGACTCAGGATATCCCCAAAAGCACCAGCTCAAGCTACATATTCGTAAGTGTCCTATTCTAAAACGCCAGGAAGCTAAACCATACACATTAAAAAATCATTAAAATAATTTTATATCACTATTATTTAATGCCACTTTTACAAAATATAAATAAAAGTAATTTAAATTAAAGTGTCCTGAATAAGTATGCAGCGGGTCGTGTTGTTTTGTTGTCAGGGTAGAAGAAAGGTGATTGATATTGAAAGGTATACAAGACAAGGTGATTTGTATACACTTGTATACATGTTGTCAACTGCTTTTCCAATGTCAACATTCCTTTATCATTGTGGTTGACTTCCAGTGCCTTCATGGCCCTGGACTTCAAGAGTATTTAACCCTGTGCATACTGTGGTAGTCAAAATTCAACATTGGCTATTTCTACCCACTAGCAGATTTATGACAGTTGAGTTTTAATAGGTTCCCAGCCATATTGGTATTACTTGAAATGAGTGCACAGACACTGCCGCTTAGGAGGCTGTCCACACTTGCCCTATTTTCAAAAAAGGCATTCCTTATTCAGACTTCTACCCAGTCATTCATTCCTCAATCTGAGACCACTGGCGGGGTTGCTGGTCTGAGGTTACAGGTGCAATCTCAAAAGTAACATTTTTCCCTTAGCCTCCCTCTACCACCATAATAGACACTAGGAAATGGCTTTGGCTAGGTTACATATTGGCCATATACGCTTAACTCCTGGATATTTTATGGCATGCAGCCCTTCTCCTTACTGTCCAAACTGCATTGTCCCACTTTCAGTTGTGCACCTCCTTGTGGAATGTCCAGATTTTCTGGATGATTGTATGTCTTGCTTTCCTACTGTCCCTCAACAAAATCTTTGGTGAATCTGATACCTATGATATCACTCATCTTGTGTTTTTGTCTTTATTATTAGCATTCTCAATGATATTTAGTGCACTTTGAATATCCAGTGACACTGATGGTACTATAATCTACCCGGCTTTGTGCCTTATTTTGACACTTTCCCTGTTCGCCTGCTTCAAATTTCTGGTGCTGCCTTGGCTGGGACTGGTCTAGATATCAGAATGCCCATTATCAAAGTATTCAAGTTAAGCCAACCACTTTAACTCAAATTCGAGTTTCTCATTTGTTACATCCCTTTAATCCGAATTCCTATTCTGATTAAAAGATGAAAATTGGTCAAAAACTGAAATGTGAATTGATTTGGATTACATGAAGATTTAGGTTACCAGACTCTGAATTACAGGCCTCTTACACGCAGTACAGTACTTGTTTTGACTGAATCATGACACCAAGCTAATGAGATGCTGCTGCAACACACTTAAAGCTCCATCAGCTAATAATAATAAAAGGATTATTAAAAAATTAATTATTTTCTATTTGCTTTATACTATGAAAAACATGATGTAGCTTCACAATCATTATTATAAGGCATGACAAAGAGCTCAGCACATAAATAATACAACTGTAATACAAAGGAAGAAGCAAGGCAAAGCTCTTTATAAACTTAAAAAAAAAAGTCATACTATTTACAGCTGTGCCTTTTCTTGTTCATTGACAAGTAAAGAGAATAAACTGTAAAATAAAAAATTTTGAGCACCTTTCAAAATTATAAAGTACTGTATGAAGATACATGTTATAAATTACATTGTGGAAAATCTACATATGACAAAAGACACTTCTTAATGCCCTTTCTCTAAAGGCAAATGGATTTTTCTAAGGCAACACATCAAAAATGTATGATTACAAGTTGAATATTTCTACATAAAAAATAAAGAATGTTACAAGCATAGTAAATATTAGCTGCTGTATATAAAAAAAAAAATGGGCAGGAATGGGGAAAAGGTTATAACATGACGATGATAATAAATATTCCTCGTATGTACACCACAGTATGATTTTACTATGTCATGCTGCATAATTTTTTTTTACAGTGAAAATCTACGAACTCTTGACATGAGAACTGGGTTTTTGATCTAAATTTTCCATTAAAAACTACCTTTTAAAACAGTATAGCTTATTAACCAACATAAATATCATTATAATTGTTAAGGCAATAACAGATGGAACATTCACTGTGTTGTAATGCATCAACTACCATAAAACAATGAATCAGACTACATACAATTGTTTCCAATACCTTTTGCTACTATTTCCTTTACCAATACCTAAAAAAAAGAAAACCACCATGAAACATTTATTTGTGTGGTACATGCAAATATGTAAATTCTGTTATGATAACATTCATATTAATGCCTGTCTTAAGGACATTATGCAAAAAACTGTTTACTAAAACTCATTGAACACACCTAAAGTATATTATTTGTTAACAAATGGTAAACAAAATTACAGAAATATTGCTCACCATAACAAAAACCTGCTCGTTAACATAATTTTTTTTTATGATTTGTGTAAGTAGGGTTTAAAGAAAACTCATGCAAATCTCATAAACTGAAAATTATTTTCTTTAAATTTCAAAATATAATTCAAGGATTTTATGACAGGATAGCAATGTAGAAATTGTTACACAAGACAAGAGTGAGAAGTTGGGTGCTTATGTAGATCATCATGGTTGTGCAGATACAAATTTTTACCAGATAAATAGTAACTGAATGTGCTGGAAAATTGTGTAGAGAACTTTTACATTTGATAGAAGTAAAAAGTAAGAATAATGGATTGTGGAATGTGTACAAGATATACATGGGTGGGAAATGGAAGTCAAATGTGGAGAAAGGTTCATAAAGAAAACTGAGGACATCTAGAAAGCACCATAGTAACAAAGAAGCTGGGATAAAAATTGTAAACATCATTTCTATGTTCATTTATAGTTTGTCTTATATTGTAAAGGAAGTGATCAGTCACAGAGGTCCAGGAGGAGGAGGAGGGATAATGGTGTAAGGAAATATATACATGCAAATGTGGCACCAAAGGGTGTATTAGCAAACAAATGACAAAACTATAGAGTAATTTTACAATACAAGAACAATAGGATGCTATATGAATGTCCTGCCAATGGAATAAATACCTGTACTAACTAAAAGTCCAACACCTAATGGGAATCTAACAACAGTAACAGATACACATACATTCATACAGGTGAAAGATTAATTTTTATATATACGTACATACATACACATGTATGTATGTATGTATGTTTGCTTCCAATAAACAGAACAATTATAGTGAGGACACAAGGATAGTAAATTCTCATTTGTTAGGAAGCAGCTGATAATTTGTCAGTCTCAAATACCTTGTTAACATTTGAGCAACCACATACCAATAGCTTTATTGAATATTGAAAGACAGGCAGCTTACTAGTGCTTTTAAGGAAAGTTATGAGATGTCAAAAGTGGTTCATAGGTGTGATGAGTTATGTAAAGAAATACTGTATAGCAACCAGCATGACCTACATGTGGCAGGGATGAACTTAAGACTTATACAATGAAGGGGTACATTGTTAATGTTTCAAAAAAGAGTAGGTTGACCTTCAAGAGAAATGAAACTAAGGAAGGATACAGAAGGTACATGACACAAATGTACATGAACAAGGCAAAGAGAAGAGGCACAGAGATCCTAAGATGAAGTCAAACTCAAGGTGTAAAAAGATAAATATTTAGATTTGTGAAGACTTGTGTGGACCACTCAGCTTGATATTGGATTATGGCACACTGCATGCAGACAAAGCTTTTATCACAAATATAATAAATGTATTGTTAAAACTGCAATACCCGATGTCAGTGGCATGTTTAAAACTAGTAACAATAACTGAAATGGATGTTTGGCATATACTTTTGGGGTTTCCTACTCAGATATAAACAACAATTTAAAAAATACAACAAAATATTGTACAATAACAGAGGAGAATGTGGTTTAATCCATGAGGGGCTTCATGTTCCAACATAAAAAGGTTAAAGTTTTACACATTTTTATAAACTTCAGAAGTTATTAATTTACAACAATAAAATTTCATTATCTAGTCACATACTTCATGCAGGTTCTCGAGACAATTCTTTTTGCTATATTCTGTAATCATTTGACACTAATGTGTAGTATAATGTAGTATGGTATATTAATGTGTATAATGCAGTATATTGTAGTATACTAATGTGTAGTATAATATTGTAGTATGCTATAATATTAATGTACTGTAATTATTTGATATTGATTACTGGAATATACAGTACCATAATAATTATTGCATTTTGGTCACAATTTATTTTATTGTGGCTGCTCCTTTAATCGATTTATGGCTCTTTTTAAAAAGTTCAAAAAGCAAGCCCAATGACCTTTGAATAATTACAAGATATCTTATAAATAAATTTTTGGCGTTTCTTTAACTAACACATTTTTGTTGGTTTACACCAGAAAAAATAGTTTGGTTCCCATAGTTAGAAACAAGAAAGCTGTTTAGCTTATTGAGGTCCCCATAGGTAAACAACTGACTTTTCTTAAAATGTAACTCACTCGAGTTGTCTAACTTGCAGGTACCTATTTACTGCTGGGTGAACAGAGGCAACAGGAAATTGTGTCCAAATGCTTCGGTCATGCCATGAAAATTGAACCAAAAAACTCACAAGTGTGCCATGGCCAATTTTCATCTATGGGAACTTTAGTAACATTTATTTTATTACATCGTTATTAGATTGCCTATGACATGGCTTGGCTTTGAGTGGAGTGAATTAGATAGACAAATTTTTTTTCTCTATCTGCCAAAGTTCTCGTGCTAGTTTTTGGAATACAGTATTAGCCATTTTTTTTTTTTATTTGAAGAGACAATTATATGTACTTTATGTACAGTACTGTATATGAAAACTAACAAAATATCCCTCACATTAATGACTTGGATAACAAAAATTCTTAGTATTTTACAGTATTTCCTTTCAACTTACCTCTAATCTTGGTAATACAAATTATTTGTAAATCACTGAACTTTCAATACCAAGACCATGAAGAACAGTGAACAAAATCACAGAATCTAAACAAAAAATATAGCTATAAACATTAACTACTAGTATTGTTATTTTGATATCGATATACATACTGTGAATTTCATTTTCCAGAGTCAAAGTAGATATCTTGTTCGGAGCATAAGAGTTTGCCAGAACTTTCCATATTCAGTTTGTTTGAATCAAATTGAATAAAAATTTTAAAATCAATTTCTGGAGCAATGCAAACTTTGTATTGTTTTAGAACAACTGAAATACCTACCTTTCATTTGTAGTTTAAAAAATATTATAACACAATTAGGAAGAAAAGTTATCGGATCTGTATGTGTATGTAATAGATGTAAGTATGCGTAAATTCTAAAAATGTTATCTCAAGATGCAATAACTGTTAATCATTCACTAACATGATTATGATCATCTAGTAAGACCACATGAGAAAATTGTTTCAGCCCAGTCAGGTGTTATTCAAATCCCACATAGGCTTATAATCTACTAATTTCAATAGCTAACAATATGTTCCTCTAAACATACCCGATACCATCCAAGATAATTTCCCAAACAGTGACAAACTGATGATAAAAGAAATGAATTGTGGTGACCAATCAAGCAAAGCTTCTGTATCATTTACCACATTAATATTAAAGCATTACTAAACTACTGTCCATGATACAGTACTATCTTATTTAATGTAAAATTAATACACACTAAAACACAGGACAACGCCCATTGACGATGCATGTAGCCAAGGACCAGCACAAACTTGGAATACTTTATGAGGATAATATAACATGGACAATTTTGAAAAATAGACTAACATGTGAAATTTCATTCAATGTTTTAATTTAAGAAAATTCTGGGTAATTATGCATTATTATTCTTTATTAGAAATGAAGCATTACATTTTTAATGGGTCAGTGATTTTCCAAAGGTGCACTTAAGCTTTCAATGATTAAACAGCAAATGTAAATAAATAATATATTTCAATCTTCAGTAATCCTTTTCAGCAAACTGTGAAGAAAAACTTCAGTCATTGATGCAATGGCTGAGCTGTACGTGCACTTGACCTACAGTACTGAAGTTTTGTAATGATATCGAAAACTGATGTTACTCAAAAGATATCAAAGTACAATAGCATTGGTTATTTCAATGCATTGCTGTAAAAAAAAAAAAAAAAAAAAAAGGGCTTCATGCAAGATTCACGAGGAAATCTTAGTAAATAAAGCTAGTTGTACAATGTGGCAAATATATATCATGAACTGTTTACAGAGGAAGCTGAAATGTAGTCTTAATGCAAGACTAAAATCTGTTACAAGACATTCACATGACCATGAAACTAATATTTAGTTTGTAATACAGGTGTGATTATACCTGGAACTCTCACGAGTGTGCGCCATGGACCCATTTTCATAAATGGGAACTTTAGTAACATTTATTATTTTGTTACATGGTTATTAGATTGCCCATGACATGGCTCGACTTTGAGTGGAGTGAATTGGATAAAAACTACCAATGTTGCGAAGATACGTATTTTTTTCTCTATCTGCCAAAGTTCTTGTGCTAGTTTTTTGGAATATTAGCTGTTTTTTTTTTTTTTAGTTGGAGACAATTGTATGTACTTTATGTACAGTACTGTATATGAAAACTAACAAAATATCCCCTAACATTCATGACTTGGATAACAAAACTTCTTAGTATTTTACAATATTTCCTTTCAACTTACCTCTAATCTTGGTAATACAAATTATTTGTAAATCACTGAATTTTCAATACCAAGACCCTGAAGAACAGTGATCAAAATCACAGAATCTAAACCAAAAATATAGCTATAAACATTAACTATTATTATTTTGATATTGATGTACGTACTGTGAATATCATTTTCCAGAGTCAAAGTAGATATCTTGTTCGGAGCATAAGATAGATAGATAGATATATTATATATATATAATATAAATTATATATGTATATAAATATATATATCGACACATCACCCCGTACAATACTGCATTACATTCCTAAAGTAGGGTAAAAATTGTTGTAGTGATGAAGATAATTAATATGTATATACCATGGAGGCAGTAGCAATCTGGGAGATTCCCATATAAAATATCAAAAGTTGAAACTAACCAGAACAGATTCATATTTATAGATTTGAAACAAATCACCTTGCAAAAACTTTCCAATCCTTCTCTATCATTCCCAACCTAACCCATCTTAGAAATGGGAAATTAATTTTCAGATCAACAGTAAAATCTTTCAAATATCCTGTAACAAAGACATAAAACTTTATAGCAAACTCCAAGATTAAGAGGAAGTGGCAGGATAGAAAAGGAACAGTAAGATCAGCGAGGGTTTACTTTGCTTAAACCTGTAAATTATGATACTGACCGGAGTTTCTGCTAATAAACTCTAATATTCTACCAGATTTCAACTTCTCCCATGACATTTATGCTACTGTTGCATTTTCAGTGATCTTCAGTAGTTATCAGTTGCTGAAACATTGCTCAGTTTTATATGAAAATACCTTTCATTTTGTTCTATGACACTAAATATTATTACAGTAATACAATAAACAAAAATTAATGTGGATTGTTTGTAGATATCAATAAATTTCAAATTTGTAAAAAAAAAATTCAATTGTACAGTTAACACTTTATAATTGGGATAATCAACAGTGGGTACCTAACAAGGAACATCTTAAATTTCAAATATCATTCCATTCACTATCAAATATTTTAATGTTAAATGGTAAACCACATGGAAGTCTATCAGAAAACATTTGCAGTAAAGAAAACTTTCATACCACTGATTATTTGGTTTCATTAGATATTCAATTTTGTAAAATATTTACCACGGCTTCCAAAAACAGTATTTGATTGTACTGTATAATAAAGTACAATACAGCAGTTGCTTAACATGCAAGAGGCATTTTTTTGAAGTAGAAATATTTGAAGTGTACTATACCGTATATACAGTACTATGTACTGCAATATAAATACAGTGCTGCATGTCTAATGCTTCCTGGGACTTCAAAACAAATGTGTTATATATTTGTAGCCGATTAACATATAAAAGTTAAGCAGAATGTGTCAAATGAGATTAGCATTACCCCATACCAATCCTGCGAGTAGTTTATTAATTATACTTCACATGGAATATACAGATGGTCTTATAATGCCAAATTCCAGGTCAAACTAAATCCTTGTTTAGAATAGTATTGTGTGAATGTGCTGGATATGAAAAACTTATTTAAACAGTTTGTAACACACTTGGCTATCAATACACCTGCAAAACTTAAATCTTCCCTTGCCTAGCTGCACGATTTGTTCAAGTAAAATTGCAGATTTTGAGGACAGCAATTTTACATACACACTGAAATAGCTTAATGTATTATTTACTCAAACGGGAATAAAATATCACAACATATACAGTTACATTTTCCGTGATAAATACTTCAACATGACAAAAATAGAAATATTACACCGACTGTAGCTCAGTATGTTCAATGAAGAACTACTTACACTAGTAGTACACTAGTAATAAAAATACTATAAACCCAGAGTTTTCACTGCTCGATCTTCCCAAATAGCCAGGATTAACTGTACAATAAGTGGCTTTCATGGATTGTAAATATGACATACAGTATACTAATGAGAACTGTAAACTTCTAGCCCATACAGGAGAATAAATTATGAAGTACCTGCACTGATGTAAGAAACGCATTATTCACTCATACGAGAGAAGAAAAAAAATCCCTTGCCTGTATGGGAGATAGTTTTTGATGCTATATTAAAAAATAAACATTAAAGAAAAACTTTGCATATCAAACATTAGGCTACACCTCCCTGCAGACTGACACTGAGGTACTGGATACAAAATCTTGCAATAAAGCACATGAAGGGAAACCAACAATTAAAAACAAAAAACTTAAAAATTTTATGTCGGTTTACTAAATTTACATCTCAAACTAAACAGCTTTTGTTCCTTACACTTGGAAACTAGCACGAGAGAGAGAACGTGATAAAATCCTTGATGGTGGTACAAGAAGCCTCAGTTGAGTTCATGAGCCTGGGGTTCCTGGGGCTTCATCACTTCAGGCAGTTCAGGAGGCGATGAAAGCGAGGTGATATCTAGCGACTCAAACTCCCCATTATCCTGCCTGAAAGAAGACATTTATTATATATGCTGTATATTTATATATTTATGATACTGCATATATAAATTAATTTGTAAAAATCATAATTGTCTCTTCATAATCCCTTAACACACACAAGTAGATCCACCAATCAATGCTGGGTGCACAGGCAAAATGAAGTCAAGGAATATCTCAAGGTAATGGCTTCTAGCTACAAGTCTAGTGTACTCATGACAACCTAATAAATATATTAAATTATGCAATGGAAAGTGAATTATAGAAATATTGTATAAACAAGTATTGTACAGTAATGTGCATCTATGGGTATATTTCCACTGTCCACCTATGCTTTAAACTTTTCATCATAGGGTATTAATTATGACATGACAACCAAGCCTGACTCGCTCTTTGTCTGTCAGACACCATATGATTACAGTACTGTCCATGCTTCCCACGTCAGTTTCATCACAAAAAGTTTAATTTCACACGATCTGAATACATGTAGCAGCTATGCTATTCACTTTAATCCCCGCACTCTTTCATGTGACAATTCTGTGGTGTGAAAGAAATAAAAAATAAATAAATTCTAATTCAGTATTGTTAAAATACATTCCCTGATCATGGGAAATTAAAAAATAAAATAAGTATGTAGTTTACTTTGGAGAAAATCAAGATATCACTCATTCACACTCACTGATGGACGAGATAACCTGTAGAGGTTGCCTGGGCCAGGTGGGTGGCAGGAGTTGCCATGAATATATTTATATGGATTTATTTCAGTGTCGCTGATTAGTTTTTTCCACTGTTTTTTGCAGTTACATTATGCAATAGTATGAAATTTGAGAAATATCTGTAGTCACTTCTGCAGAACATCAATACACACAAACATTCATGTCACAAAAATGAGCATATTATATTCTGTGTACAATAAAACTGTTTTTGCTATTATTATGCTGTATACACATGTTACAGTATATATACCAAGATTATGGTATGTTACAGTATATATGGCATTACATATTTATGCACAATTTGGAACCCACTAAAAGCAGGCCTGGTGAGTGACGATCACGATCCAAGGTCAGCCTAGCACTGTACATCTTGCACAAAGTATGTGCTGTATTCACATTGATCACGCTGCCCCTAGTCACACATTCTCAGTTTATTTACCTTGGATATCTAGACAAGCAATCATGTGTACAATATGAGTGATATACATATGAATAGGCCCATATGAGGCTGCTGCTATTTATATTGATATGTATAGGAGCTACCTCAAATAGACCTATTGGACTATGAGGAAACTGCCTCATAGCTGCCTCATATGGCCCAATAGGCCCTCTGTAGTACCTTTATTTTTATGTTCAAAGGATGATTGGCTGACCTGGTATACTTCATTACAACTTATTACCAATAAAATTATGATTCATTAAGCAGTAATCTTACCTAAACACAAGTGCAACAGTAGCAGGACTCTGTGCTCGAGCTGTTTGGGCAGACAGGTTATAGTCACTCAGCTGCTTATCGTCATCAAACACTTCTGTACCTCGCTCATTCATGAGCTGCTGGTTTTCTGGTTCAACTTTTGTTATGCCTGAAAGTGATTATATATAAAGATATTAACAAAAATATATATTTCTTGGCATAATTGACAGATATACAGTATTTCTACTTACCTCACAGGAACTCGAGAGTAATTTGTTTTTGTATTTCATGACGTTAAAATAATTAGTGGCTATTGCATCTAAAGAAACCAAATGAATAAAAATCAAACATTGAATGTAATGAAGCACCTCTTTCTGGTTGGCCCCTCAGTAGCTCCAGAGATTAAGTGCAATACTTTCGGGTTGCACCATGCCTCTATGGAACTCGGGACTACTGCCAACCAGACCCAGAATCTGGTTTGCTCAAAGAGGCAAGAGATATCAACCCAAAAGATGAGGAAAACCAGTAACAGAATTCAGGAGAAATACAAGGGGGCTTAACCCTTAAAGGGCGCAAATTGTATATATACATTTTAACGTACGGCACAAGATTTATATGTCCCATGGCTACACGGGGTTCACATCAGCTTCAGCTGATGTGAACTGGTTCACAAATTGTGAGCAACATTTCCACCCGCTCCATCCCCAAAACCACAAGATGAAAACTGGCCATCTCCAGAGCAGCCACACAAGCATCAAGCTGTATACACAACTGAAGAAATGAACCTAAGTGCTGGATGCCTTTGGAGCCTCGTTACTACAAAAGTAAACAAAAACCAAATGATGTAAGCTTGAACCAAATTAGCGGACCAATGAACCCAAATGTTGTATGCCTTGAGGTAGCATGTAATACCTACCCAACAGGAACAGTAAAACCAATGGAAACATTCAAAATCCAAAGTAGTAAGTGCAGGCTCAGCAGGTTTAACGATAATGAGCCACACCAAAGACCTGTGGGAGAGTTGCCAGGGCATGAAGTTAAGGACCACGCAGGACACCCCCAGCCATTGAAGATGCTCACCAGGAGAAATGAGACAGAATGCAACAAATAGAAAAACACAGCCATGAAGGGGGTAAGTGGCATGCTATAGAGATGAGTATGTGCATCTCAGTGCACCCCATAACAATAAACTCCAATTGACCACAACCACGGGGCCATGCAGGGAAGTCAAAGACCCAGGCACTACACATGGCTAGGCACTCGACACAATAGTACGGCCTCTCAGAGGTGAACTCCTAAATTCATTAGAGAAGTGTCAGTGTGCACATATTGTACACTGTCAGAGTAGGGGCAATGTCAAAACAAGCACTTAGGGAATGGAAGCCAGGAGCTCCCATTGGTATTGACACCAGTTGGTGGCCAGCTATATCCTAGTTTCTGAGTGAAGCGTTTGTGGATTTGCTTCACTGTTTTAGTGCTTTGCTTTCTTTGAACCTTTATCTATATTGCTTCCCTTCCTTTCTGGTTATTTTCTTGGTGATCATAACAATTCTCTGCATCCTGTATCCCTGTGCCTTTGAGGAGGCCAGGTTCTGGCTCTGGTCCCTGGTAAGCCATACAGGAATCCTATGGCTCGTGATCCAGTAGGGGTGAGGAGCTATCCCAGTGAGTTGGCTTCAGAGTTGCAAGACAAGTTGCAAGACAAGTTGCAAGACAAGGAGAAAGACAATTGATGGTATTGTAAGATGACTCAAAACAGCTTATTAAAGTACAGTAATCATCAACATTAAACATTAGACAGTTGGAACAAGTGAGAAGGTGGTGTAGGCCAAAACCATCAGCAGTTGCAAAGTGTCATATGAGGAAGAGTACTGGGACGACTGTCATATGAAACCACAAGCATACCGCTCACTAACTACACATAGGTAAAAAAAAATTTGTTTTTTCAGCAGGTGGCCCATGAATGGCTATACTACCCTACCTGGAGAGAAACACGCTGAAGGCATGAGCCAAATTTCTGAATGAGCACACAGTTTTACTAAAATTATCAAGATACTGTATATATTTAAGGTAGTACATTTATGAGGCACAATGCAAGTTGTAATATTATTTAAACATAACAATTAATGAAAGGCATAAAGAAGGGGGATAAAAATAAGAATGTTAAAAATATAAAAATTGTTTTAACTTGAAACAATGGGTTCAAATTTAACAGGTATATTTTTTAGAAAGAATATGGTCACATATTGTTTTGGTAAATGTTAGGGATGGATGAAAAAATTTGGCCATATAGCCTCATAAAAATGAACATCTTGAAAAATTGAGATGGCCATTTAATGGTTGGATAAAAACAAGACATGTTTTGCATGGGCCAACAAACCTGCTGGAGAGTTTCTTCTGTTAAAGACATAAGAAAAAGCTGCTTGACAATAATATAATATATTATTAAATACATATACTTCCTTCGCTGCTAAAACATATCAGCCAACTCATGTCTTTTGATTACTGAACTGCTTACCTTGAATTATTTTCTTCAATTCCCTTACTGTCGTCGTCTCCTTGGCATCTGTGAAGATTGTGGTCTTCTTCCTCCGCACCATCAAAAACACATCCTGCATCAACAAAATTGATAAAAAAAAAAAATCCGTGTTCATTTTTCAGTAGCCATTAATTCCTAAAATTAAAGATTTTAAAATAAAATAAATCAGCAAATTCATTTCATAACCAGTAACCTCAAAAACAAATTCAGTACAGCAAAAATATACATGCATGCATACAAAAATGGTCAACAGATGTAACAAATAAATAAATAAAATAAAACAGTGATAGGCTAATGTGTACTATTCAAAGCTTCTAAACTTATATATGATTAGATATAAGGAAGAAAGTTCAACATGAGCTTAGCTCTCTCACTGTATCTACACCTACAGTATAGTAATCAACTACTGTATATACAATGCACATACACACAAATACACTAAAAGAGCATCTAGGTAAATTAGAAAGAGTTCAAAGTCATGCAACAAAATGAATCCTAAAATTTGACAGTTGACTTATAAGAGATTAAATTTCCTAAAGCCTCGTAAACCAAAAGACTGAAGAAAATGAGGTGAGGAGACAAGATTACTACATAAAATAAGGACAGAGCTGGAGAAAGTTAATGAAGTAGACATCTTAATGTTTCCCCCAAATAGAATGAGAAAACATAAGTACAAGATCAAGAAACACAGATATATAAAGAATATTGAAAATATTTCTTCAGTTATAAAGTATTTGGTGGATGGACCAAACTTTAGGAGAAATTTGTGAGAAAACTACTGCTAGTTTTTAGTCTATAAATTACCTAAAATTAAGAAGGCAAGATATGACAAGCACAGTTGTTTCTCTGTAACTATAATTAGATAATTAGTATTATTGGTAATTAGTGGGGGCCTGATGGCCGAGTGGACAGCGATCAGGATTCATATTCCTAAGGCTCCGGGTTCGATCCCCCATGGAGGCAGAAGCAAATTGGCAGTTTCTTCCACCCTGCTGCCTCTGTTCATCTAGCGGTAAATTGGTACCTGGGAGTTAGACAGCTGCTACGGGCTGCTTCCTGGAGATGTGTAACAAAAAGAAGGACTAGTCGAGGACTGGGCTGCGGAGATGCTAGGCCCAAAATCATTTCAAGATAACCTCAAAATATTACACTACTGGATATGCATTAGGTGTATAAACAATGTAGCTAAATCATTCTTAAAAGATACTACCTAACACCATATCAAACTACATGGCATATGTGGCGTTTTAAGAACATTTTAACCACATTGGAAGCAGACATTCAAAGAGCAGCTTTTGATTTTTTGGGAGTCACTAACAACTGTACAAAAGAACCTTTATTAAAAAAAAAATTCTCTAAAATGAAGAGAAATTTGTACCATTATTACTATACCATTAATAATTAATTAAAAAAGTTATTTTTAATTAAAATAATTTAATTTTAATTATAATTTTAATGTTTTCATCAGTCTTTGTGTTTTGAATTTAAAATAGTTGAGTTTAGAAACATTTTGACATTAACTTTACCCGAACATTTATAAAAACAACAAAAATATGTCTAACAATTGCACTATGAAGTTTTTGCCACAAACAGGTGCGCAGTGCAGGGGTTAAACCAATTTTTTGGATGAAACCAAAACCATCCTTTATCAAGGTGTTGTTAAACAATGTTCTGAACAAAGTTTCTAGGTGCATGTATTTATATGATTGGCCGAGCACTTCACTCAACATCCACCATTAGACGTCGTCATGATTATGCTCCCCCAGGGATATTCCAAAGTATGTTGGAACGTCTGATGAATGATCATATGTTCTGATTTCGGTGAACTGTTGCCCGGGTATTGTGGGAACATTATCCCCATTCTGAACAAGGGCTGTGCTTACATGAAATAATGACATTAGTTCATTTAGCTTCATTAAGAACAATTTTGCATTTAATTGGATCATAAAGACTTTTGAAGATGTAGGCCACGCAAGGAGTTGTCGGACATTACGCATGCACCTAGAATCATTGTTCAAAACATTGTTTAATGGCACTCTGATAAAGGATATAGATTTCATTAATAAAAAAATGGTTTAAATTTATACAGTTAAACATGTATTGGGTCCTTCCTTCACCTTCATTAAAATATTGGCAAGTGATTACACTTTCTAATGATACATATTTCCGATTCATTACTGTGAATTCTGCATCTCACACAAACTCTTCTTATTCTAGTGTCTCCACTGTTGTCAAGAGCAAGATTTTTACCCCATCTGGTACTAACTTGTGATTTATGTGTTGAATTTTGTATTAACTTCCGAAGAAGTCTCTTTTCCAAGCCTCTTAACCCACATAGCATCATGCCCTCTGCTAGCTTGTGTTGTGTTGTGAATAGCTATTTTTACCAATCCTAGATTGCTCTCATTTCATTAGGTTTTGTAGGCTTCTCTCTGATGTACAAATATACATATAAGGGGTTACCAGAGTAGCCACCCGGCCTGGGTGTCGAGATGTGACCACCTGGCAAGGGGAGGGGCCAGGATGACCCGAGTCGCCTCCTGGCAGGGGGACCAGGACGACCCGAGTCGCCACCTGGCAGGGGGACCAGGACGACCCAAGTCACCACCTGGCAGGGGGGCCAGGTCAACTTGAGTTGCCACCTGGCATGGGGCCAGCATGACACAAGGGTCATCACCTGGCATGGAGCCAGGAAGATCCCAGGGGCCACCACCTGGCATGGGGCCGGGAAGGCCCCGAGGGCCACCACCTGGCATGGGGCCGGGAAGACCCCGAGGGCCACCACCTGGCATGGGGCCGGGAAGACCCCGAGGGCCACCACCTGGCATGGGGCCGGGAAGACCCCGAGGGCCACCACCTGGCATGGGGCCGGGAAGACCCCGAGGGCCACCACCTGGCATGGGGCCGGGAAGACCCCGAGGGCCACCACCTGGCATGGGGCCGGGAAGACCCCGAGGGCCACCACCTGGCATGGGGCCGGGAAGACCCCGAGGGCCACCACCTGGCATGGGGCCGGGAAGACCCCGAGGGCCACCACCTGGCATGGGGCCGGGAAGACCCCGAGGGCCACCACCTGGCATGGGGCCGGGAAGACCCCGAGGGCCACCACCTGGCATGGGGCCGGGAAGACCCCGAGGGCCACCACCTGGCATGGGGCCGGGAAGACCCCGAGGGCCACCACCTGGCATGGGGCCGGGAAGACCCCGAGGGCCACCACCTGGCATGGGGCCGGGAAGACCCCGAGGGCCACCACCTGGCATGGGGCCGGGAAGACCCCGAGGGCCACCACCTGGCATGGGGCCGGGAAGACCCCGAGAGCCACCACCTGGCATGGGGCCGGGAAGACCCCGAGGGCCACCACCTGGCATAGGATGCAGTAACCCACCCGTTATGATAGACTAACAAATCCTTAGCGCCACGCCTTCATCAGATTTCCCCTTATGTACATAAAATACCAAGCTTAAATTTGTAGGAAATAACGAAGAATTACGTTCTAGACACCTAATAGGTATAAATAAACCGATTTTCCACGCCGGCATTTAATAAGCCCAAATGTGCAGAGTCGCCGCAGCCATGAACAGAAAACCCCATACAACCCAAGACTTCCAGCTAGTTATGTAAAATAAGTCTCTGCCAAAAATTTACGAATGAAATCTCTTTTACGGAGAAGGAAAGGGAGAGCAACTTACCATGACTTTTGATATACGGAGGTAAATATCAAACAAGACAACAACAGACATAAAGCCTGTACGATGGTTCTCGTGAACAATCAACATGTGTATTTTAATAATTTAATTAATATGCAATATACCTATAACTATAAGATTTAATATGTTTTTACGATTTATTTTGTATTTATGACAAGAAATCTACGTAAAATCCGTCTCTCTTTACAATATATAAGATTTGTTTATATTGATGGTGAAAAAACAAAAACTTAAATATGAGCCTATAACATATTAATACAAGATAAATTATAGATCTATCATTAGTTTAACTTCAATAAAATATTGTTTGTGATATATGTGGATATAATAGAAAGAATGGGAATATTAGAGAGTTTGTGGGGGATGGAAGCGGAGCGATGCTGCGCAGCATCACCAGGATCGTTGCTCAGCTTAGCTGCCACTATCACCACAACTTATATCTTTTCATATCCTGATGTTCAAATAAAAAACATTAATACATATATATACCATATACCAACAATATTTCGTTACAATACAGAAATTTTTGTGGTTATTTTAATTCAACATTTTTATGTTTTAGAGGAATAAAGAAGAATATTTAAAGGTATGTGAGTTACTGGCAATTTACGGAGCCTGTGATTGGCTCAGGGATTTTAAAAGCATTTAAAACAAACATGGCCTCAGAGTGAAGCAGGAGTGTGTTTGTAAAGCTCTCCAGCATTTTGAGTGAATGTTGGCTAAGTTTTTAGTTAATTTACCTTTGCGTGTCGGAAGGTAGTGGATCAGTAATACGGTAGTGAGTCAGTGGTGCGAGAAGGCATGGTTAAGACCCGGAAAGGCGACAATACGACTGTGAAATACCATATGCCAGACTCCAGACGGGGAGGTGTGTCGTCGCGCGCGTTCTTGTGATTTAAATTTTTGCTGGTTGATGGTGTGGTGAGAGATAATAGCGAGTGCCATTACCTGTAGTGGTGGTGAGCGGGAGGGAGTGGTGGTGGAGGAACCATGGAGGACACGAGTGAAGTGCTGGTGTGTGCTGCAGAGTACATTAAAGGTAAGCAAGTGATGTGTCTGGGGCGAGCCCTTAGACCGTGGGAGGGCAGGGTTGTTCTCTCTACACCATGGGAGGTCAGGGGGTCCTTACTACACCATGAGAGGTCAGGGGGTCCTTACTACACCATGTGAGGTCAGGGGGTCCTCACTACACCATGTGAGGTCATGGGGGTCCTCTCTACACCATGAGAGGTCATGGGGGTCCTTACTACACCATGTGAGGTCATGGGGGTCCTCTCTACACCATGAGAGGTCATGGGGGTCCTTACTACACCATGCGAGGTCATGGGGGTCCTCTCTACACCATGAGAGGTCATGGGGGTCCTTACTACACCATGGGAGGTCATGGGTTCCTGTACACCATGGGAGGTCATGGGGTCCTGTACACCATGGGAGGTCAGGGGTGCCCTCTCCACACCATTAGAGGTCAGGGGTGCCCTCTCCACACCATTAAGATACATTTCTAATAAGCTTATGGAAGGCCACTTCCCAGTGGGAAGGAAGGCTTTCCCACTGGGGAAGGAGAGAATTTTACTATTCATCTTTGGTTGCCATGTGATTATGCTATACAGTGCTTTATGGCAATACTGTACTGACTTTGATTAGTACTTTTTGATAATTGCTTAACTAGGAAATAGTCATGGTTGCATTGGCCATCCCCATGTTTAGTGGCTATATCTAGGGAACCCGGTGAACATTAAGATGGATTTTTCATAAGCAAAGAAAGATAACATAAAGCTGTAGGCCATTATTAGGTGCCATTAATTATATAATTAATAATAATAATGCAGTACTAATTTGTATTCATCAGAATGTGTACACAGAGAACATAAAAGGAAGAGAGAATTAAAGGGACAAGAGTTACACATAGAAATAAAGCCACTAATTTATTTATTTATTTATATACAAGAAGGTACATTGGGTTTGTGAGAATACATAGCATAGTACAGTATTTACAATCATGTAAAGCCACTAGTACGCGCAGCGTTTCGGGCAGAAATACCAAATATACAAGTTATTTGAGGATACAGTACTTGTTTATTTTGTTTGGCCACCTCATATTATGCCTGGAAGTTTTTATCTTAGGTATATATTTGTCATGCTACATATACTAGAAACAAATGTAATCATAGCCAATATTGAGCCCCATATTTAATAAATAAATAACCAACTTTTGTTGCTTATGCAACCAGATGTGGAAAATGGTTAGGACTATGCTTCAAGTATTCATTAAAATTATTTAATTTTAAGACTATAACCTTCCATATGGCCTATGCCTAAGTTTTGGCCTAATTCATCCTCACTTAGAGTGCACCATTAGCTTCATAAATTAAATTAAATTTGTTTTTTTTTCCAGGCAGCTGACTATTCTTCTACAACAGTTAACCTAGTTAGAGTATATACAGAGTACAATCAATTCTTGCACAGACTTTCAACAAAGTTTATTTTATAATTGCTAATGCTACGTCGTGTTAGACAAGGCTGTACAGTATTAGGTTCTTTTGGATTATTTTGGATTAGGTTTTGTAGATTTGAAGTGTTAATGAATTATCTTTAGCACGATGCGACTTGTATCCATTGTTTACACCCTATTCTTACACTTTATACCATCAGCACTACACAGGGCCTCCCTCATCTTGTTTTTCTACCCCCCATTTACCACCAACTAGCATGTAGCCTAGCATACTCATTAATATAAACCAGTCTATGCTTTATACGATCCTTTTATTCACTGTAAGCCTGTTTCATGTACCCTTCACTCTAGGTTAGAATACACTAACCATTGCACCCCCTGTATTGTATTAGGCTGTTGTATTCACATTTTAAGATTTGCTGGCTTGAGGATACCTTTCATAATTGCCATTGTGCTCAACCATATTTATTTTTGCCAAAGGAGCTCATTATTTGTATAGATTAGCCAAACCAAGGCTAGCCATGCAATGTAAACTTGTAGTTTACATTAATTGAAGTCGGTATTAATTTTCATAGGCCTAGTTCCTATTTGAGGTAACATATCAGTTCCCCCCTTTTTTTTATACTGTATACTGCACTGTAGTCCTATGGTAGTTTGTGTTGGTAGTTTACTTAAAACTAATATTTTTAAGATGCAAGTTGAGAGCTATGCAAACATCACCAAGTGAATATCTTCCCCAACAGATCGGCTGTACTTCGTAACCTTACGAACTTCTGGCAGACCACGATCTACAGCAAACACTCACTATTTCACAATTGACGATGAGTTGGTATATGAGAACTTTTATGCTGACTTTGGACCCCTCAATTTAGCCATGCTTTATCGTTACTGTCAGAAGCTAAACAAAAAGTTGAAGGTGAGTGACTTGATTTGTGTAGACTTATGCTTCTCCTTTAACGTGATGACTTGATCTATGTACCTCCTCACCCAACACACATTCACTCTCATATAAGCTGTGTTCACACACAAATTTAGGCAATGGCTCAACCAAGTTAGCACCCAACCACTTTGACTGGACGTTAAGAGCGATGATCTCGCTTCATGCAGGTTGGCATTCAATCCTCGACTGTCCAAGTGGTTGGGCATGGCTGGGCACCATTCCTTTCTTTTTGTCCTATCCTAAATCCTCACGTTCCCTTTCAAGTGCCATATAGTCGTAATGGCTTAGTGCTTATTTCTTATAATTACCTTACCTTATCAACCAATTAAGCATTGGAAACCTGGCCTATGCTGTGGCAAACAATAGTAATGGGAATAGCCTACTGTAGGGCTAGTTGTGCACAGTTCATTGGCAACAGATTGAAAGGAGTACTGAAGAAAGAGTATAAATTGACTACTTAACATGTGGTAGATAAATTTATGGAATGCATATAGGCCATCAAGGAAGCTGAGGTAGTCGTTTGAAGTGCATGATAAAAAATGAAGGAAATTGAGTTTGGCTGTGTTAAGGGGAGGAAAAATTAAGATTTGCATCAGAGAGCCAGGAAGATAGAACTCATTTGGCAATTTTGGTGAAAGTACTGGAACTGATTGAAGAAATAATGAAATTTTGGGATGAAGCATATGCAGAGAGGACACTATAAGGAGTTATTTAAGGAGGATGGAGTTATTCTTGAAACAAAGTTAAATTTCAAGCATGCTTCAATTGTACTGTCTTCAGTAAGATGAAAATGGATAAAGCAAATGGAAAAGATGAAGCCTAGAGGGTGTGTGACACAATAGTGACTTGCTCTACAATGCTATTAACAACACCAAGAAAGCTGTAAAAGAAGGGAAGGTCAATTGCCATGAAAGGGTTCTCTCTCATATATTCATATACTGTACGTATATATCTTCGAACAAGCTTGGAGCTTTCGGTTGCGCATATATATATAAATTTCCTTTTTTATTTTATTTTTAAATGTAGTACAATGGTTGTTGGGAGAGGATTGGAGCAACCTTCAAGAGAAAGTTGTACTACAAATGCCTCTTATTTATCAAGACTGAATTTGATAAAATGTATAAAGATGACCGTACACCACATGCTTGTCGAATGGCAGCGAAACTGATAAGATCCATTATCTATTAAGTTACATTAGAAGTATAGTGTGATCCCTTGATTGTTTCAAGCATAGGTTACATACGTCTATATATGAATGAGATTGGGTGGATATAAATAGCTGCCTCCTATGGGCCAATAGGCCTTTTGCAGTGACCTTCATTCTTATGTAATTATTTTGCAATAATCACTATTAAGACACCAATAGATTTAAACTTTTTTTAAATTAATGTTAACTGTGAGGATGCCTAATCTAAGCCCATTAGCAGAATAATTTCAAAAGGGAAAATAAGGGAGAATATGAAATGCATATGTGCAACAGGGTTACTTTGCTTATAGAGTTTTAAAGCGATAAAATATTGTGAATTTTCCTTTGATGTAGGTGCAAATTTAATATGCTGGTAGATCTGGTAGAAGATCTGACAGAATAGGTATTTTGTAACCATGTAAATTGACCTTGCGTATATTTTAATATTTGCAACACATGGTGTTGTGTACCATGCTGTGCACAAGTTTAGTATAAACAATAGCAGTGGTAAAGAATATAGTTGTGTCCTTGCTGGTAATAGCAGGGATTGCTGTCATAGTGTTTTTGTTAGAATTAGGAATATATGTTCATTATTCCACCTTTCCTTACCAATTTAAATGTTGTTTGTCACCATATTATGGTACTACAGTACTTAAGTTTTTTAATGCGTCAGCATTAAAAAATGCTAAAGAAAATTTTTGTAAACTTTATTTTGTTTGGCCTCATTCGTTATCCTAATCTCTCTAGATAGCATTGAAGAGTAGATACACCATATAGTTTTTCTTCTCTTTTAATAGATAAATCATGGTTCAACAAGCTGTCTTCTGTTATGTCTTTCCTATGCATGTTCTCTCTTTCCTTCCTGCTCCTCTCCTTTGTTCCCTACTCTTATTTCCTCACTCATTTCTGTCCACACTCCTTTTCTTCTCTATCCTCCCCCCCCCCCTCTTCTTTCTTTCCACTTCTCTACTTCTACTCTTTCTGCTCTATTGGCCACTTGTCTCGTTACTTCAAATAAATATATTGTGTTGTAACAATTTGTAAGTACTGTGAACTGATGCCAGTGTTGCAGACTGAACAGTGCTGATAACACAGGGTGTTGCTCTGGGAAAACTTATCGATCATATATTTAACCCACATATCTTCTCCCAATGTGTCATGGACACACACTATGAGGACGAGTTAAGAGGTCTATTGCAGTGTCAGTGTTACTATGAGTGATTATATAATAATTGTAATAAATACCAATTTTATTGCTGAATCTATGCATGTTCTCTTAAAAATTATCCCGCCCGAGCAAAATTATTAATGACAAAATATGTATAGAATTTGCAGTAGACTATTTGTTGTGTATTCCTTGCATCAATTTAAACCTGGGTCTTCAAACATGCACACATTTCCTCCATTAAGAAGATACAATATAATCATAATATTCTATGCATACACACAAGCCTAACGGTACCCACTGAGGGGCTCTCCTTGCTGATGCAGTTTACAAGGACGAGTTTGTCACTCTGGGTAATAATGTTAGGGGGTGCCTGAGTGAGTAAAACATAAATGGTATGGAATATTAATATTAACTATAACACTGGAGACGAGGATACATATAAATAAGAAAAGTCAAGAATTAATTAAGATTTGGATAGGGAAGGGACGAGTTAATGGTTTGAGTTCATTGTACTTGCTGGGGTGAAAGTAGCCGATTATTTATGAATGGGAAGACCTTCGGGCCGCTCACCTCGGTGCCTGGTACAAAAGTGTTCAAATAATATGCTCAATACTATGCTGAATGGCTTGAGTGGTGTGTGTGTATAAATTGTTCTGTGGTGACAACAGTGAGATTCGTTTATGCACATTTCCTTGTAGCATTCATTTAATCTCGCCTTATCTTGAGATGATTTCGGGGCTTTGCGTCTGTGATGCCCGGTCCTCGACCAGGCCTCCTTTTTGTTATACAGTACTGCACATCCCCAGAAAACAGCCTGTAGCAGTTGTCTTAACTACCGGGTACCTATTTACTGCTAGGCGAACAGGGGCATCAAGGTGAAAGAAAATCTGCCTATTTGTTTTTGCCTCCACTGGGGATCGAACCCGGAACCTTAGGACTACGAATCCTGAGCGCTGTCCACTCAGCCGTCTGGCCCCCGTTACCATCAAGCACCCAAGCACCTTTGATAATATTTTTCAATCAACTTTCATCTACACTAGGATTTGATCCTGCATAGCCCAGGCTTGCCCCCCTGGCGTGCACAGTACTGAGACCACTTCAATGTTTGCCTTCCTATTTCTCTGTCTGTCCTAGTCTACTTGGTCTCATGCAAACCCATCTCTGTTTCTCATTCTGCCTGTCTTTTTGAAGACTATGCATCTGTTTGTCTCTTCTATAAAAATAATATGTCTCACATTCTTGTGTGGGTGGGAGGAGCCTAGTGGTGTGAAATATTAAAAATATATAATAGTTACCCATTTGCCTTTAAAAATCCTTTGAAGCTGTGGGAGGATAAGCTGTTTTATGCTACTATGGGTAAAGTATGAATAGCAGAATATTTTGTCATTTTTCTGAGATCAGTGAATAATGGTGTATATTATAAAAGAACCAAAATTTATTTAGAAAATTTAGTTTTTGCAATACTCGGCTAGGTGTAGCTGGCATGCTGTTTCTTCTTTAATTCTGGCAAACGTCACCAGCCATTGTTTGTCCTGTACACCTAACCATTCCCCTTGCAAAGTTGGGTGTGGCTAGTCCCAAGGTTTATTTATATTGTCTCCCTCTGAAACCATAAAAAAAAATCCGGGTTAATATGGCACTCTGTAGCTACAACCCACAACTGTATAATTCGTGGGTAAGGTTTGCCGCATTTTGTCTCGGGGGAACTGGAGTGTAACAAGGGTTTGCAGTTTGACCAATTTGTTTTTTGCTGGAGAGAAATCAAAGGTTATTCCTACATGTGACCAAATAACGGGCGTGTCGGCAAGACGAAAGCAGGGTTATCTTGAGGTTATCTTAGATGATTTCGGGGCTTTTTAGTGTCCCCGCGGCCCGGTCCTCGACCAGGCCTCCACCCCCAGGAAGCAGCCCGTGACAGCTGAATAACACCCAGGTACCTATTTTACTGCTAGGTAACAGTGGCATGGGGTGAAAGAAACTCTGCCCATTGTTTCTCGCCGGCGCCTGGGATCGAACCCAAGACCACAGGATCATAAGTCCAGCGTGCTGTCCGCTCGGCCGACCGGCTCCCTAAAGGGTACCCACATGTTGTAAATCAAGTGTCCTGGATGCGGGCAACATTGGCTGGTGTGTCCGTGGTTATATCACAAACAGTAATGGTCTGGTTTTCGAATATTTCCTCCTCATTTTGTAAGTTTGTTTTTAGATGTAACCTGTCTTCTCACTCAATAACGAAATTAAAGCATCGTGGTATTGATGTTTTCTGAGCATCGGCCTCTGTAGGTAAGATATGTTGCTTTGGTTCCAATGTTTTGGGTTAGGCAAAACAATAAGTTTTTCACGGAGTATCAGATCATGAGAACGGGGCTGGATTGATTTTGTGGAACCAATTGCCGCGTAACGTGGTGGAGGTGGGGTCCCTCGATTGTTTCAAGCGTGGGTTGGACATGTATATGAGGGGGATTGGGTGGTTATAAATAGGAGCTGCCTCGTATGGGCCAATAGGCCTTCTGCAGTTGCCTTTGTTCTTATGTTCTTATTTGAATTATCGGCGGTGAGTTTCTTGTGTTCTGCATGGGCTACTCATCACTAAACTCAGTCACTTAATCTCGACTAAAGCGT